GCAATCTTCCTCAAGTCCTCCATTGGAAATGGGAATCGTACATCATTTTGGCATGATACTTGGTCCCATCTTGGTCCTCTCTTGAAGTATACGGGTCCCTCTGGTCCTCTACTACTAGGTATTCCCTCTGATTCTAGGGTGGCGCATGCTGCATTTGATGAAGAATGGTGCTTTGTTTCCTCTCGAGCCTCTCGTCGTAGGAACCTAAGGAACGCGATCAGTTTACTATCACCTCTAACTAATACTGCTACGGAGGACACTTTCTTTTGGTCCACAAACTACGACCAACCCCTTCTTTTCACCACCACCTACACTTGGTTAGCTCTGAATGATTTTGGTCCCATGGTTTCTTGGCATTCTTCGGTTTGGTTCACCGGAAACATTCTGAAACATGCGTTCATTACTTGGCTTTTCGTGCTGAATCGCTTAACCACACGAGATCGTCTTCATAATTGGGGAGTAACAACTGACTGTTCTTGTCTACTTTGCTCTGCTTCCATTGAAACATGTTCTCATCTATTTTTCTCATGTTCTTTCAGCCAAGATATATGGTCTGTTTTCTCACCATCGTACCATCTTTTCCCTCTGGCTTTCGACTCGATCATGCACTGGATCCCTTCACTTCCTCGCCGTATCTCCAAAACTGTTAAGCTCACTTTCCAAGCGTGCGTTTACGCTATATGGCGCGAGCGTAACAGTCGTCTCTTTGGATCTTCAAGCCGAACATCATCCTCTATTGTTGCTGAAGTCTCCAGGACAATAAGAAACCCACTGTATATCATGGACCAGCCTAATGTGAGATCAAGATTGCCACAAACCGAAGACTCCAACATGGTTCTCTGGTTCCGCCACTTTCATCCATCAAATTTAACCTTTCAACCTTCTTCTCCACGATCCACCCTCCTTCTCTATCTCCTTTTCTAGGCTGTCTTGTAATGCTTCCCTCCTTTGTACTCTTATGATCTTCCACAGCTACTTTATCTATCCTTACTTTCTTTGATGTGAGTCTCTATTTTGTCGTACCCCAATTGATTTATGTCTTGGGAAACATCTATAACAGTTTCTTTTGGTAAAATATTTTCAACTTTTACCAAAAAAAAAAAAAAGTAGCCATAAGAAGTTGATGATGATTGGGATCTACTTTGATGAAGACCAATATGATGGTTTTGGTGAGTCCAAATCGAGAAAATGTTCATGAAGTCAAATGGAGTGGGGTTGGAAATGTGGTCATTGAGTGTGAACGTGACAAGGAACAATTGGTTTTAATGAATGGTTTAGTTTTAAAAAATTTGTTTATGGTTTTGAATGGTAGATGGATTAACCAAATTAAAGAGAGTTATTTTGTCGAATTGTTGAAAAAGATGCATAATTTTTCATCAGAAGCAACGGATCGATCGATCCACTTAAGAGATCAATCAATCCACATCTAAACATTTTTTTTTGTCCAAAGTATACATATTTCATTTCAGACACGATCTTGTTTGATTTCTATTTGGGTACCAAAGTACCCATATGGTCGACTTTTTTAGACATATTTTTCATTATTTTCATATCTAGATTTTTGTCTCCATTGTAGTCTTTTGGGAAAACATATCAAACCTAATTAACATTTAAGAAAATATTTTTGAACCCTTTTATCGTCTTTATCAATGTAACAGATTTTTTGAAAAGTTGACTTCCACTTACACATTGACTCTAGTTTAGACCATAATTGAAATGAAAGGAATCGTAATATCTCAAAAGAAATTGAAGAGAGGTTCTTATTAATACACTGTTATTAATGGGAACGACCATCAACACAAAGACCCTCGAGTCAATCCAAAAAAAGAAAGAAAAATGACCTTAATTACTATACCACCACCCATCCTGACCTCTTAAAATTCCTTATTTTCTCGACTAATACTGTCTTTTTTTTTCTTTCTTTCCGCAGTATACATAAAAAAAAAATGTGTTTGGTTCATCGATTATGACTATTCCCACATCCAAACAGACTGAAAGTCCAGAAATTAACTCCCCCTATATTTTATTTGTTAAGGAAACTTACAAAAATAAGAAACCCATATTTTCTATAATAAAATATTTCTACGAAAAATAAAAATGTGGGAAAAGTAAGTACAATTACCATCTTTCTGTCTGGTTCCAATTTAATGTTTTTTCAGATGTCAGAAGGGAAAATAATAAAAAGGAGAGAAATCCTAGTTCAGAACCAAACATGGATCAGTTTCAAAGATCTGTTGCTTCAATTTCTGAAGAAATTTGAGTTCGTACATTTTGAACTGCAGAAGCAGTTTGGATTTTAATGCACGAACTGTAAGGAAGATAGGCATGGGGATGCATTAATGATCACTTTGAGTTTCCTCCGATACTGTTTGGTTTTTGAGAAATTTATATTATTAGGTAGTACTTATTCACGTAGAGATGAAATTTTTAACATTAAAAAAGAGACCTAAAAGATCCGCACATTTGTTAATACTCACAACCTATCATTATTTCATATGACGAGTCATCTACCCACTCGAACGAACCATTAAAGCATAGACTGGTATAATAAGCTTATTGTTATGAGGCGTCAATAATAAAACTATATGTTCATGCATAAATAATGTAAAAATAAAAATACGTATGCGTCAATACACGTTATAAAATGTAAATTTATGTCGCTCATGATAAAGTGGACCCAGTGAACTATTGAAGACATTCAGGATTTCCAAATTTTTCGTCTATATGTTATTGAAGTGGTGATTAATCCATCAGTGAATTAACGTTGTCCATGGACTAGTCAACAACTAGCACATTTAAAACCTACTTTAAAACACAACTATTGTCCCTTTTTTCATAGGCATTTTGAAAAGCCTTTCATTTGACTTTCTATTAATATACATTTTGTCACCATTAAGGGAACTAACCCATCATTTTTCTAACATGGATTCTACCATATTTAGTCGAGGGTGCTTTTTCTAAACGCCTCATGTTTTGGGCGGTCGACTAAGATCTCGTTCGCATAATTGGGTTTTTTAAGGTTTCAGTGAATTTTAATGACTCGCCGGGGAATTTTTGGGTTGTGCTGAGATCCATTGATGAGTCTTCCACTCTTATTTTTTCTAAATGATTATTTAGCTTTATTCATTTGGGATGGATGTTATGTTTGTACGGGGTCTTTTAGATCCTCTTTCAGTGGTTAAAATCTCTCCACACATGTCCTTTTTTGGAAGTTGCCATCGTATCCTTCTTATTGATCTTATGTTGGTCTCGTTCGAGTTCATTGTGGTCCGCTTTAATGTTGGTTTGCTCTATAACTACACATAAGATCATATTGTGATTTAATCAGTGTAAAGGTTTCTACTAAGACATTGACAAATAAGAATTTTTCTAAATTTGTTGTTTATGAGAGACGTATGAATTATTTCGATGCCTTTTCTGTGGGATGTGTCATTTTGGTTTGGTTTCTTAAAACACACAGGTTGTGAGGTAGTAATCAGTTGCGACCCTGAAGTTATAAGAGCCACAAGCACACCATAAAAAATTGGGGCTATTAAATAGTGAATATTAAAAAAACAACCAGAAAAAATGGAAAAAGTCTCGGATAAGATTCGAACTGCTCACCTCTTCGACACAAACAAAAGGATATACCACTTGACCACCAATGCCTTTTGGAAAATAATGGCCGAAAAAAATTATATTTACAACATAGTCGTAAGCGCTTGGCTCAGGGTCGGCCTTGGTAGTAATACTCCACTGTAGGAGTAACCACTTATCGTTTTTCGGAATTTTTTCATCCTTTTCGATTTACCAATGTGTTAGGCCATTCAAGTGATAACTAGTATTGCAGGCGAGTGGATTTCGATTTACTTCTTTTGTTTTATATTCGAGTTTTGATTGCATCTTTTTGTCTAGATTTTTATATGTTTCTCTTTCGTATGACTCTCTAGAGGTTTTTAGTTTTTCGTTGGCTTAATTTTCAGGATTTGTTCGCGGTTCGCTAGCGATGTATCTCTTCAAAAGTTTTTTAATATAAATCAATCCGAAAAAAATTAGTATTTGCGGGATATAGTCTATATTTCTCTAATTATTTCGCATCCCACAACAAGAGAGTAGAGAACTACTGATATTTTAAGAATATGGTTTTGTCTTTTTAAA